TATTCTTCGGCAGCAGAAAAACAAAATACATGAGTAAACAATGATTGCATCATTTGGTGGTCTTCGGCGACAATTGTGTCAATAATACCTGAAATGGTGTGTCATTGGTGTCAAGAGTGGTGTCTTTGAGCTCTCGATTCAAATCAAATCCTTTGTCGAAGAGTTGAGACAATTTGACTGCAATGTCATCCATAAGTCAATCGTTTTGTTCTCCGAAATGAATACAAAAACTTGTGTTCAATAGTGTTGTGGAAAATGTAAACACAATTTCAGTGACCAATGCTTTCCATGCAATGAAAGCCCACTATTTTTGAATCCATTCATACCATTGCTATTACACTGTATTTGTTATGCAATAATGATTGCAATTATCATTGAAACCAAACATTGGTTTAATATAGGAATTGAAGGAATCGGTGATCAAATAGAGACAATTGTTTTTAAAATAAGAAGTCTTTTTATTAATTTGTTTAAATTGATTGCTGAGTACTTGAACTCAACATAGATTTCAATTTTCTAATAAATGATTCAAAATAACATTGATTTGGTTTAAAAGACATTATTATTATTAAATAATAGATTAATATAATTAACGGAATTAATTGTTTAAAAAGCAATTAAGAACCGAATTTTAATTAAAATATATAATTAAAATCAAAATGATATTAAAATTTGTTTGCTTTGCACTCGTATTTCTATATTTCGGGATTTAATTATCATTTGAGTAAAACTCTTGTTTAATATAAAATCGAAGGAAAGATTTATCGATTAATTCATTTGTGAATTATATACCAAAAAATGATAAACAAATGATCCGTTAATTAATTAAAAAATAACAAATTAGTCGAAAAAAGCCACAAAAATATATGATATATAAACACTATCGCAGAAAAGGATGCAATCAATCAGTTTTGTGGCCCCAATAAAAAACAAATCACTCGATATATTGTTATTATAACACATCTATAGGTTAACTATAGTTAGAAAAATAATAATAATAATTAATTGTAATTAATTGTTGAGCAGATAATGCCAATCGATTAAGGATTTGAGTAATTGAGTGGTAAAGCAGCACATGATTGAATAGTTCATACAATATACACAACTCATTACGCCATACAAANACACAATGAGATGCTGTGATTATAGAGTCAGAGCTGATCAAAGTTCCCCCGCATTGGGCGCTAAAACTTCCCAAATTGTCAGAATCTTCTATAAAAACGGCTGCCTTTATATAACAATAACATTGTTTAGTTCTAATTATATATTTTATAAGTACTAATAATGATCACACCATCCATGGCCACGATCCTGGATCTGATACTTTTCCGCCGACAATACGTGTCTTTCCAATAACACTAGTATTTCCACAAACTTTACACAAAAGGAGAAAGTTTAACATTTTTGAAAATAGTAATGTATTTGTGCTCACATTCTGGTAATTTTGATGGTTTTAAATTAGGATTGGATTTGTTTGGCCTATCATTTGTCGGTCTCGAAGAGGTTCTAATAGCTTTCGGCCGTTTGGGTCGTTTAGTTACCGGTTTAGCAGTGGTTTTCACAATCACTTTAGTAGTAGTGCTTTGAATTGTTTTCATCGTTAAAGGACAGCAAACTTTGGGCACTTCGTCGTCGTATCCGCAGATCGATTGCCGCAAAATCTTTATATTCCTCGACGACAAGAGTTGATCGCAACGAACTAATAGCTCACAAATACCTGTCTTGCCGTCCGGTGTAATGCATTCCTCGCTCTCTTCTATAGGAAAGTCAACTAAAATCTAATTTATTAGATATTAGATTCAATACTTGAACACATCAGTGATATCACAGACTAAACACACATACTTTGTCTCTTGGATTTGCATTGAATTGATGTGAAATAAAAAACCAAAATAAATGTTAAATAAGTTTTTTGCATTTTATTAAACATTGAAAAATTTAACAAAAAATATTGACAACTTTTGAGAGAATGTAAAACAATAAGCGGTTCGTAAAAAAGCTGTTTTTATTTTCAGAGACCATTTGTTGGGACAAAGAATACAGCAATTAATGAACACAATGTTTACTATATTTTCTACTATTAACTGTCTATTTAGACGAAAGTGAATATAGCCGTAGGGAATGGTATGAAATGCCAATGGGTTTTCAAATGATGCCATCAATTAACGGATGACCTTCTTTTCCAAGTAATGCTTTTCTTAAAACTCAAATGACTCACAAATTTTCTTATTAATAAATACATAACACTATTGTTTAGGTCTATGTTTAGACACAATTCGTTAACAATGATTTTGTTGTTATTTTAATTGTTACATAAGAATATATATAAACTGATGTACGATAACTCTCTTATCCCATATTCTTTCGGTTTCCTTCGCCTCGTTTGTGAACTGAACAATTGAAATGAGATTTTTAGTTATTTTTATACAAATGTTGAACTAATAGAGAATACCGTCTTTCCAATCATCCATTTCTCGGGCTCTCCTCAGACTCTGTTCGTCGTCTCTCTCCACCAAACGCTCCTTCCTTTCCTCTTCCGCCTCGTCTTCTAAACGTATTTTATCCGGATTTACGGCTCGATTCAAAAGACTATTATCATATCTTTATGGCAATACATTTCAAAAATACAAATATCATTAAAACATATTTTAAATATTAAAATTGGACCAAAAAAAAGTGCCTCACATTTGGGAGTTAGTAATGGCGAGACTTCCCTCCTCTACCTTCTGGCTAATAAAATCGTCGACACTAAGAATTGGAAGACTGGGATAACCCAAACCATAGACCTTCTTCTGCATCTCATTTCTGGTGATGATAATTGGTTTGAGTTTAGCCGATGCCTTCGCTTTAGGACCAATTCTGGCACTTTTATTGTCGCCGTTTGAGGCCTTCATTTGCTTCATATACTCCAAAATTGGTTTTTCGGTTTCAATTGCGTTCAACTCTTCCAATGAGTGGTTAATCCAACGCTTAAGAAGTGTTAAGAAATAATCTCTAAGCACTTCGTCGTCGGCGTCATCGTCTGTCTGTGACATCTGTTTTCTCAATTGATCCAAACGACTGTCCATTTCTTTTCCTTCTCTAAATCGTCTGATTTTGTCGTTTCGGTTAAAAACCGCCGAATCGAGTGACGGAACCGACGGTCCGCTCGGCTTTTGATCATCGGATGAGCTATCGGTGCGCTTGACTTCAATGTCACAGATTTGGTAATCATTAAGTCGTTGAATAAAATCATTGAAATATATTTCGGCGATATTCAGCACTTCCTGGCGATGACTGATCCGTGACATGAGTGTCAGATCGGCCAACAGTGCCGGCAGTAACAGGTATTTCATGTTTTTGGTGGCGATCTCTTCGACCGACTCATTGGCGCTAAAGAGTGACAACTCGTTCACCAGACGTGTTGACTCTTCCAACGCTCGGAGCGCTTCCGAGACTTTATTCTTCGGCAGCAGAAAAACAAAATACATGAGTAAACAATGATTGCATCATTTGGTGGTCTTCGGCGACAATTGTGTCAATAATACCTGAAATGGTGTGTCATTGGTGTCAAGAGTGGTGTCTTT